CTTGTTTTTTTATTTGAAGTATAATTAAGCAGTCGGGTTTTTTGATTTTTTAAATTTACCTTTTTTATTTCACACTTTTTAGTTACTTAGTATTATAAGACGGTATATACCGTCGTCTTGTTACTTCAGTAAGGGAATTAATATCGCGGGAATTATTAAGTACCTTGCGGTGGTCTAAACGATTGATTTATTAAGACATATAGAGACTACCAGCGGAGTCAAGGCTACAGATGGGCCTCAATTTTCGCATAAATGTGTGAAGTTAAATCACCTAACAACAACAACAACATTACCTATTTTAACTAATGTATGTAAATTTTATAGTAAACTAGCACTTATTCAAAAAGTCATCTTTTGTTTATGTTCTTTTTAGTAGTTGAGCAGTAAATATAAAATTCATTTACTTTTATTCGTCGACTATTAAAAATTGGTAGTGGCTGCATTGTCATGTCAAGGTCCGGCTCTAAGATTATGATATACACAAATGCAGTGTCATATCCTAGTCTCATAATTTGATATACCTACATAATTCACAGAACCCCAATATGTAGATGCCAGAAGTTAACTTCAAATGTTGTTAATCACCCTATATACAATACCAATCAATGACGTTTATGTTGCAGGTTGAAGAAATTAGTAATTCCCGTCTGTTGTTTTAGACAATGGTGGCAACAGCCTTAGATCACTAAATTAAATAATTATGCAATCACCAAAGCAAAGTTTATAATGTTTGATTAAACTAAAGGTGTATAATAAATTTTTCATAACGTCAGGCAGAGCACCATAGCAATCTCATTTATTATCAATTTATAGTCAGTTCTTTTTGTAGTTTTCTTTTAAAGCGTTCACCAATACCAGGTCAAAGACTTTGTCATCGACCCTTTTTTTATTGGTAGTGTAAAGCTCGGATGAAGATTACTTCCACCTATCAAGCGTGCTGCTACCAGCCTAGTAGGTATTGCAAATAGTGCAATCATGGCAATTATTTTCCAAATATTTATTTTGTATAAAAAAAATACCGTATAGCATTTGTGCTTAACAGTGATACGTTATTATCACTGTTAAGCACAAATGCTAAGTATAAGTAACTTTTACAATAATCAAATAAATATATTACTTACTTTATTTTTAAATCTTTTTCATCAATTAAATACTATTATCCTTACCTAATATTATAAAGAGGCAAGATTTGTATGTTTGTAACAAATAATCTGTCAAACTACTGAACCGGTTTTAAATATTAATTCATCATAAGATAGTTACATTATTTATTATCACATTTTTCTTTATTGAAATACATTTTGTCCGAGTGACAAAGGCTATATTTTATCCCGATAAAATAAATTTCGCCCGTACAATGCCGGGGTGGATCACTAGTAAGTATAATATAATATTATAGATGCGAAAGTGAGTTTGTGTTTGTTGCGCTTCCGTGCCCTAATAGCTAAATCTGTTATAATGAATTCCCCTATAGAAGTAGATGGGAACTTGGTTCTTAGCTACAACATCGCAATACTTATAGGCGTAGGGTGATTTACCTATAAAACTCTATATTATTTACTTTGAATTTTGCAGAATTATCGTTTATAATTATAAAACCAATATTATCGCGAGCTGATTAATAAATAAATACAAGGATGCCAATAAGTATGTACCTACTAGCGAAAAATGGGTTATTTGTCATTATATTAAGTGACCCTTTATTTGTAACATTAAGTAATATCGTTAAAAAAACAGTATAATTCTGAGTTTTTCATTAAAATTCAATAATCATCAATACCTATTATGATAATTTATTTTTCATCATTTAATAGGAAGGAACTGTATCATAGTTTTATTGTAAGTAGGTACTTCGTATAGGATCAGATACTGCGGGTAGCCCATTTTTTTCGTTTTCGCCTAGGTTTTATCTATGTTTATAAGCACCTAAATTAAATTTCATCTCTTAGTATTCCCGCAGTCTACTCCTACATAGTACACCGCGCTGTCATCGTTGTAACTTTTTAAATATTTGTCGAAATGACATAGTGTAAAAGGCAAAGTTTATCGTCTTTAAATATCAAAAGGGATAAAAGTATTTGTTTTGATAAAAAATAAATTGTTAATACAAAATGTGCATTTTGGAAATAGATATCAAATAATATTTTAGTTTTGATTCACTATTTTAGCGGTAATGGCTTACACATTAAAAATAGATATATGGTGTCACGGACTTCATTGTAGAACTATTTAAGAGATACATTTTCGCTCTACATTACATTCATGTAACTTTTATTGTTTTTGCAGTGCAGGCCAAAATGGCTCGCAGATGGGAGATTTTTTTCGTCTTATGTGACACTTATTGTTATATTTTGGCCGATTCAATCAATAACTACATAAATTATTATATATATGTTATTATCATATATCTATATTACTGTTAAGTTTCATTAAAATCCATTCAGTATTTTTTAGGTGAAAGAGTAACAAAGATCCATACAAACGTAAGATAGAAATTAAAAGCGCAAGTGGTTAATGTACAACTTTAAAGCATGGTAGATCCTAAACAATCATATAAAATGAAAAATGGTGTAAGGAACCTAAACATGATTTTCGATTATCTAGACAATGATACCCAACTCGACACATTTTGTCAACTTATTTTTTTTTCATTCGTCACAATATGGCGCCTAATTTTCCCCATATTGAATTTTGATTACTATCATATCTTTAGTAGCACTCCCATGATTGAGACGAATCGATTGATGTATGAATCATCAAAATCGGTCCAGGCGTTTGGTCTCTAGTGTGCCACAAAGGAACAAACATACATATATAGACTGTTAAACATTATACCCTGTCTGCGCGTCGCGCTTCGCGCTCTCGCATTGCACAGTCGGGTAAAAATAGCACCGTTTGAATAGAACCGCGAATTTAAGTTCTTTGAAGGGGAAATAATCAATTTCGATCAAGACTTAACACAGGCTGTGATAGGATCCTAGAATACCAGTAGAATTCACGAAAAAAATACTATAAGCTTAGTAATTATTCTAAGACTATAAGTCAGTAAATATGGAAATAGCCGTCTTTGAACAGGCGCTACTCAGATAGTAAACAAAATACACGGGAACTATGAGAAACAAAAAATCGTGTCATTTCATTCATAAGCACAGTTTTAAAGATAATGTAAAAATATTTAGTTATTACTTATTTTGACAGTTGCTGACACAGTTGGTACATAGAAGCTAAAGAGGGAGATGTAATTCGCTTTATGAATGAGAGTGAAAGACTTCTTTAATGCACTCTATTGGCGGCTTTTGCCAAGGTAAGTTGGGGCGGGTACTGCTTTTGCCATTTTTAAATGCAATAATGTTGGCGTATAACCTGTATATATATAGTTTAATGATCCTTGTTAGGACTATAGAATTCTATGGGCATGAAACACGTATATTGAATGAAAATAATCACTCTTGGCCACGCCCGACTTCCAAATAATACTAGGCCCCACCCGAATTCGTGTGAACCGGATATAATTTTATACTTTTTAGTTCCATTTTCGACTTTGAATTCGGTTTTTAGTGTTTGTCCAAAATATCTTTTTAAGACATTGACATATTTAAATGTTACATTAAGTTCTAATATTAACAACAATGTTCGATCATGTGGACGCGTTATATTAAAAAAAACTGCATAATGTTAGTTTGTTATATTATAATGAGAACGCACAGTTGTTACTGATTTTCACCTGCCTTCAAACTTCAACACTAAAGAAATAGGAAAGTTTCTAATTTGGCGTATACCTTTTTAGGGTTCCGTAGTTCTGACAAAGACCAGCGGTTGAAAGAAAGAAAGAAATTTTATTTGTAACAACATGTGTAGGAAAGATTTCAGTGATAATTAGCTAAGTACATAACATGTTGTGCCAATATCGGCATACAAATTAATTATTATTTAAATTCATTATATCATATCAAGATTCAAGTTACAAAAATCAAAATATCAATACAATAAAAAATGACAATAAATTGAGCAAACGCTTAAAATGATATGTCAATACTTTCAAAACAATAATAATCAAATATCAGTAAATTGGGTATTAGGATATCATTGGTATTTAAAAAAATCTAATTGAGTTTGAGACGCAGTTTCACTTCGATTTAGGTATTTTAGTTGAAATACATAGTTTGACATTAATTTGTCTTTTTAATTTCCTTTACAGAAAATAAAGATTCCTGCTCAAATATATTGTGTTAACGACAGGCAACTACGGAAGCCTACACTGCGCGTGTCACGACACGCAATTGGCCGTTCTTTGTATAATTATTACATTATTACATAATAATGATTTTTTTTTCTTTTTTTTTTCTTTTAGAAAATACACCAATTAGCCTAGCCCCAAATTAAGCACTGTAAGGCTTGTGTTAAAGGATGCTAGGGTAATGGATAGAATACATATACAGTACATATATAAGTATATTTATATAGAAATACATATCAAACATCCATGACTGGAGTACAAATGCTCGTATTCATCACACAAACATCTGCCCCCACCGGGATTCGAACCCGGGACCTCTCGAGTCGGCGACACCATGAAACCCGGCGTACAAACCACTCGACCACGGAGGTCGTCAATTCCTCTGAACCTCTTTAAACATTTTTTCCAGCTTTTGTAATAATGTTGTAGTGAGCAATTTTAATATGCTGGTAAGCTCCATATTTCTAAAATGATATTATTTCAAATGGTATGTATTACATATTTACAATAAAAGAAAACGCTTTGATACCTAATAAAATAAAGCATGACTAAATGTCTAAGTCTATTGATTGCCGAACATCACTATTGTCACCTTCACCCTTTTTTGTATCAGTGACAGTTGCATTTGTCATTTTACTGATTTACCGGGATTCGAACCCGGGACCTCTCGAGTCGGCGACACCATGAAACCCGGCGTACAAACCACTCGACCACGGAGGTCGTCGCTGTGTCTGCTGTGTTAGCAATATAGCTTTACACTTACGTTATTTGCATGGAGGTCTTCCTCTTTCAACAACTGGAAATTTTCTATCTTATCATTTGCATCGATAACTTCCCATTCTAAATTTAGGCCGGTGGTTACGTAAACCTTGCGCGTCAGCACTCTGCAAAAATTAATTATTAATTAATTATCATAAAATATGTATTATCTATGTATTATAAAATGGTTTCATTGTCTTTGCTTATAACTAGTATAAAATGAATTTATTTAATGGTTTCATTGTTTTTGCTTATAACTGAGGCCTGAGGGAGGCTGCTCAACTACCTATCAGTGTTAAGACAAAAATTATGGTTTTATGCAACGATATTTAATACTCTAGATACAACAACACGAACAAAATCGTGACCGAAACCTGTCCAAAAGGTACACACAGAGCTTCTTAAGATGATCGCGAAGTAAAAAACAATATAAGTTATTATTTAAACATTCAAAGTCACCTTTAGTTCGTAGTTCGCATGTGTCAAAGAGCTATGACAGTTTGAAATGAAAGCTTATAAAATTTTACGACTTTTCTACAGGCGGAAGAATATAGACTTTATTTTCGTGACTTTACACGTAATTCTGAATGCTGTGTTAGCAATATAGCAGATACTCAACGCGAAGAAAAGAGACGGATATAACCGTCCATGCATTTAAATATCACAAATATTTTTAAATCAGTTTATAGTAAGTATTAGAACAGTATTTGCTTCAAATGCGTTAAATTAACAAACAATGAATAGATACTTGTCGAAAAAACGACATTAAGTACTATAAATACTATTTCTGAATTTTTTCACGGAGCTCTGCGGCATCTTAACTTTTCAACGATCCGCGAATGACTGTGAACCAAGAAGTGCTTGAGTTTTATTCAAGCACTTCTTGATTAGGACACATTTTGAGCGCCCGTTGTATATCTAGGCTTGTCAATATGACTTAGATCTGGTGTCAAAGTTAGAAAATATTTATTTATTCTGTAATTATAATTTAGCCATGACCTCAGCTGTCTGTTCGCAGCTTAAATCACAGATGAGCTTAGATACTTAGTGGGTTTTTAAAACACGAAAGTAGTTATATATTTAGCATTTAACTGCTAGATGTTTCTTTTTTTCAAGCATTTAACTATAATTTCGCAAATATATTCACTTTCGCGACACTACTCTCTAAAATGTAAAATTATTTATTTCAAATAGGTAGATATAATAAATTAAAAATATAATAGTTAACAGATACTCACTGATGAATTTTAGCAAATGCCACATTTTTTTTATAAAAATTGGAACACTTGAATCCCGGAAACTTAAAACTTATTTCACCTTCTTTATTCATTTCTGCTTCTATGAAGCCAAGTTTTACATTTTTACATTTAATCCAAACCTTTCTGGGAGATGATTCATCCTCATCGTCAGAAATTATAAGAGGATTGTCTGCTGGGGCAGCACAAACTGTCGAAGAATCAAGAAAGTCTTCAATGTCCATTGTTTCAGTATTCACCTGTACAGGAGGCGATGGTTCCAATTTTGGTATGTTGTTATCTAATATTACTCTTTTATTTATCTCTTCCGGTTTTAAAATAACCATTCTTTCAGGTCTCTTAATCTCTGTTTGTACATCTTTGGCTTCGGAGTATACGGCAGCGATTTTAATTTGCGGCGCTACTTCTGCTACCGGTTTTTTTCTTTCGCACACCACGGGTATGTTTTGTATTTTAGAATCTAGAACCATTACTAAACGATCATCAGTTGAAGGTGGACATGTCGGTTTTGGTAGTGAGCTTATAATTATGGGATATTGCAAAGGTTTTGTAAGTAATGGTATTAGTGGGGAACTCATGATACTCGGTGAAGGCTTCGAAATGATAGCACCTTCAGTTGGCATACTTTCAACTTGAGATATTTTATTGATTTTTTTAAGTAATGATTGAGGTGCAATTCGATACAATCCAGTGGATTTTTTAAGTTTTATAGGTTTGACAGTATTTTTCTGATCATCTTTTGAAATGTTTTTTTTTAGAGATTTGTCGGGCTGGGGTTGTGTAGAGGAGGGTATATCATTGTATTCTGTTGACATGTTTTCCAAAGGCAACATTCCATTCATTTGTATATCCTGTGATGGCATAAACGATAAAGGGTTATCAATCACCTTTAAATTGTCAACTTTATTTGTGTTAATCCAAACACCTCTGGTTCGATTTTTTCTAGCTTTGGAAACAATTTTCACTGTCTCGATTCCCAAACTTTCGTCGATCTCATAAGGACCCACAAACACACAGTAATCATTAGCATTAGGAATGGCGTAAATACCAAATTGTGGGTTATTTGACTTGTCAGAACATTTTTGAGAAGACAGTCTTACAGTTTTTCCTGTCACCCTGGCTACATTTATAGCTTTGACGATACTTTCATGTTTCACAAAAAATCCTTTATTATAAAATTGAATTTCCGAGAAATCATTTTCAATTGTCATAACAAACCATTTCGAAGATTCTGAAGTAGAGCATTTACTGGGAGATGACAATTCTAAAGAATCTTTTGCTGATATCGAAGAATTCGATGTATCAGACACAGTTTGTTCTAGGGCAGGTTTCTCAATCATTTCCTTATTTGAACTGGATAGACAAGTGAGCTCTTGATCTGATAAATTATCTGTAAGACTATTATCTTTATCTGATTTATCTTTTGAATCATTGATTTTCATTACAGCACCAATTAATTCCCAACAATGTGACAAACCAAACAAAATACAGAAATTTTCTTTTAATCCACTCGTGTTTGTCAGTAAATTTTTTACTGTTACCGGATATTTATTTAGATCTGCGAATCTTATTTCATCTATATTTATGCATTGTTCAAATAGTGGATTTTTGTTATCTACAGCCATAAAAATACGGAATGGTTCATTTTTAGATACCAAGAAAAGGTTTTTTCTTTCACTGTATCTGCTTAATATAAAATTCCAAGGATATAAACAGACTTTTCCTTTTTTCGGTGGTTCCAAAGTACACTTTATAATTCCCATTTCCATACGTTTTTTGTATTGTTGATAACTTGATTCAAGCCATGCAACTAGTTTAGGTTTATTTGAAATCCGTTTGTCAGATGACGCTTCAATCATTTCTAAATTTGGTGGATTTATATCAGTTTTTAAACAATCGCTATCTGAACTATTTTCAGATATTGCTATAGGATTTGAATTAATTTCTACATTTTCATCTGTAGATCTTTCCTTGTGTCTTTCTTTTCTTTGTCTACGACGAGTATCTCCCTTTTCAGGCGTTGTATTATTTATTATTGTGTCAAGTTGAACACTTTTATCAACTAAATATTGCAATCTGTTTCGTAAATAAGAGTCATTAACTTCCATGTTTTTAATTTTTTGATTTGTATTTATATAATAACCAAGGCTATACTTCCTCTCTATAAAAGGTTTTATTCGAGCACATTCAAACGAATCAATATTATTATGATCATCTTGTGAAACACATATTTCTCTACCATAGCGAGTTCTGTACCTTACTGTTTCGTTCCTCTTACTAGAATATGTACTCTCATCGTCTAGAATGATTACGGTGTTATTAGTTTCAGTTGTTTTATCATCACGCAAGCGATTTTTAAACTGTTCTTCTTTATCATTGCTCAGAGAAGTTTCGAAATATGATAAATCCTCATCCAGAACCACTTCACTCTTCTCGGGTTCAATTAATACTTTTTCAGTCGATACTGTATCTGTGAATTTGCATTTGCAAAAACATTTGTATAGATTATGAACCATGCACCATGGTTCTATATTGTCACAATTTAGTTTAGTAATGAAGATCGATAATACAGGATTCAATTTTAATTCAGGTTTGGAATTCGTATCGCAGTAGAAATCCTCATATTTTTTTGAAGATTTCAAATTTCTCCTTTTCGACTTTAATAATATACTTTGATTGCCAGTTACTATAACAGTTTGATGAAATTTTTGCTCTTCTTTAGACAGTTTATTATTCATCTCCTCCTTTAAATTGATAAGTCCAGGTAAAAGGTCGCGACATTCGCCATCGTAATCGGCCGATAATTTATATTTTGATAAATCACATTTACATGCAAACATGCAACCTATACGGCCACAGTGACTTTTCAGAGGGATAGTGCATTGCAAAGAATTGCAAATACACCCTAACCTACAAAATGACTTACGACATACGCTTAAGTTAGTATTTATATCATTTTCCGGTAATCTTATTACTGTTACATCAAGCCTGTCTAATTCACAATACTTTTTTTTATTTCTGTCTTTTAGGTAACTTGTGCCTTTTAATAAGTCTTTTCCGCATTGTTCTCTAGGTTCATCTTCTCCTGTATACATGTTTGCTTGATTCAAACTAATTTCAACTGCATCTAACATCTCGCTTATCATATCTCGTATTTCTGGAATCACATCACATTCGTCTGCTGTAAAAATATCTGTGGGTTTCATCGTTGGAATAATTTTAGGTTTCCGACATTCTCTATCTTGATCTCTACGCATAAGTATTCTACGCTGATCACATTTATACCCTAAATCAAATGTCACAGGAGAACTGTTTGACTGATATACCACTGACGCGTTCTTAGCTCCTAAAACTGAAACAGCAAACTCCGCCCATTTTTCTGATATAAAACCATTCACATCTCTAAAATTGTTTATCAAATTCGTAATCGTAGAGTCCAATGTATTACCATGAGCAGATTGTATTTCTAAGATTGGTTTCGGCAAATTTATAAGCTCGATCTTACCAACGTTATACTTTTGATAAGACTTGTCAAGCTGTTTCTTTCGAGTTAAGGGTCCAGGTTTAAAATTAACAGACAAAGAATTACGTAACAGATACTTCTTTTTTAAACTGGATTTTGTTTTATTCTGCGAATATTTTTTTATTTTTTTCCTTAAATTACCTAAATCAAAATTGTAAATAAACTTTTTTCCACCACCTTTACTGCCGTTTATTCGTATAGGTTCACCGTCAAATAGAACGTATTGAAATGAATGTAAATGATCTTCTGGGTTAATATTCATTAACATTTGCCATGATGATCTCGTTATGGGATCTTCATTGTTCAGTACATTTTTAGCTAGTAATTTTGTCTGATTCTTTGTTGAAGATCCATCTCTGATTTTACGTAAAAGTGCATTTTGTTGTCTCTCCAAATGATATGGCAAGTCGATGAGAACATCTTTTTCATATGTATTTCTTAGATCTCGGACGGTTCTCACTTTAAGTTTACTTTTTTTCTTTGGTACGTAATATTTATCGTTCTTCGGTTGAAAGCCGCACTCATTATCTATTTTATTTCTGTTACTTGTGGGTTGTGCTGGAATAACCTTGTATAAATCTCTCAGATCATTGTTTTGGTATGTTTTACTTCTTATTATATCAGAAGAAAACACCTTCTCCATTTCACTGCAATGTCTGTAAATAAAAGGAAATAAATACATCGATTATTCACAATCTAAATAAACTGTAGCATATCACACCGTCAAGGATGTTGTTGTAATAGTCAATCATTAAATTAATTTTAATTAATATAAAGCAATGTACCTTTTTATACTAAAACGTTAAAAAACTATTTAAATAGTGATAAACTAAAGTATATAAGCTTACTTCTACCTGGAATTTGAAAATTACAGGACAAATATTAACTTCTTACACATTTCTATCCCTCTCTCACTACCATCTCTACTCACAAAATCACAATGTTATTCTACCTTATGCAAATATTTGGTGCACATCAGTAGGGATAGCGGTATAAGAAGAAAAAGCGGTTTGATTTGATCTTTCATCAAAGTTGAATTTTATGCAGCCATAGAGCCCATAGATAAACAAAAGTTGCAAAGATACAAAGCATGCCCCATTTTACGCAGCGTCAAGGCTTTTGATCAGGCGCGATGTGTTCAATATCAAGAATAAACAGTTTTGTTTACTCATAGCTAGGGAGCTGATGGTAATTTAGATTGATGATTTCAACGTCGTTGATACCAAGACGTAATGTAGTCTGCACATGTCAACTACAAAATATAAGCGGCGAGCTTGGGTAGCCCTGATTTTATTTCTAAATAATTTCGAAATTATACAGAAAAAAAAATGACATAATTTATACTTTTGTTTATGTCATCAATTATATCTATTAAATACATTTTATAGATAGTGAAATTAACGCTGGCAACAGTCAGGAATCAGTATGGTGGGAGTTTTACAAAAATAATTATTTAACTGTAATAAATATAGTTAGTGCTATACCATTCCATCGTCTTTTCAAAAAATATGTTTATGTTTTATAGAGTATTTGTAAATGTAAGAAAAAGATCGCAGACATCTAAAACTCTGATTTTGTTTGGAGCGTCTAAAGTGTTTTGGAGCATCTATATTTCTCTCTTTCTTTCTAGCGTTCTTTTCCATGCGAACAAATATAATAAACACAAATAATACTAGTGAGTGTGTATTTGTACCCCCTTGCAGCTGTCCTCAGGTAGTAAAATACGCTTTCAAAAAGACAGCATCGATTTTTTTTTGCTTTTTTAATTTTTATGCTACTCATAAATAAATAGAAATAGAAGACTTAAAGGCAGAAACAATCTAATAAATTATAATTTTTGTCTGTTTGTCTTTATGTATATCCGGGATAAACTCAAAAAGTACTGCATGGATTTATTTCGAATTTGGCACGAATATTATTAGGAATTCGGGTCAACATAATATAGGCTACATATTATCACGATATCACCTACGGGAAACGAGCAGTGTACCTTTATTTCTAACTAACTCGCGGACGGCCGCTAGTTGAACATAAACATTGTATTGACGTGCATTTTCCCATGACAGCCAATATTTTCATAACTGTATATTGAATGGGTAAAGTAGTAAATAAAACTGACGCCGGATAGAAAGAGCTCTAAAATGGGACGATATCATAGCGACAGAAGCAGTAATAGTCAAACACTAAGTCACTACATACTCTAGGTATGTATGGAATCCTAACCGAGAAATCCTATCAGAAAAGCTAATATATGTACAGTTTCTATTGTACATAGCTTTAATAAACATCTTGACTCAGCACAATTTTTTCATACACGTTTACCACTTCCTTCACCTATCTTTTAAAAACGATAAATTTTATTGTGATATGTGCGGTACGGATTACCCTAGATTCACTTTCGCGTTGTAAGTAGGTAATCCGCTACTTAAGTAGGTAAATCAGAGGTCCAAGCCAGGGCTTGAAAGCGGTTTCGAAAATACCGGTACATAAAGGTTAATACCGGTTTTTAGTAAAGGTTTCGTTCGGAGCGCGTCCGTAATGAAAGCAGTTCCTAAAACCTTAATAAACCGGTTTAATCCAGAGCGACACGTGCACGTGTCGGCATCGCTTGAAGTTTGTTTTGTTTGAACTAATCAAGTCACAACTTGTTAATGCTCAGAGATTGATGCATTTATAGACACATTTGCTAGCGTCTAGTAAGTCGAGTTATTCGTTTATTATCGATGCCGTCAGTAAGAGCGAAATGAAACCCTTTAAAAACCGCTAAATTGATTCACAACCTTTTCGCTTTTTATGAAAACCGGTTTTTTTAAGGTTAAGATAGAGCCAAACCTAACTAAAACGCTCCTGACGTACTCGACACTGACTTAGGTTTGAAAATTAACCGGTAAATAAGCCCTGGTCCAAGCACGAATTTTGAATCGTATCGTCATATTTTGTATGGATAAGCTAATTTGTTTTTACGTCCGATAGGGTCCGCTGCTTAGTTTTCATAAAACTTTGACGATGCATTACGATTACGGAGCTGTCAAAATTCGCCATGGAGATTCTTTCCACGTTTATGTCTGAACCAATAAACCATATGCCATTTTATAATTCTTTCTTATTTCCACTTTATAAAACAATCTGCTGATTTTACCGTTTCCTCGTATCTCGACTGTGTTTAATATACTTTCAATACTCATTGTAACAAGTACAACTCTCGTTTCTTTGTATCTTAATTAATAGTTTATCTCTCAACACAGTATGTACTCTCCTCTCTTAAGAGCTCTCTCTCAAGAATACATTGAAATTACGCAATAATATTGTGACCAGTCATAGAATTTCTTCTTTTATTTTCCGTTAACTTTAAATGCGTCTCACGTATTAAATAATAAAATATTTATTGGATAAATACCAGAAAGCAAATCAAAAGGGACCCTGGCTCCTAAAAATATAGGTTTGACCTGTGTATTAGGAGCCAGTATCTTCCAAAAAATGACACATTTACATGGCAATTTCAGACGGGTATAAGGCAATGTTTAGTGTTTTAAAATTAGAATTAGAAAGTTATTGGGAAAATACATGGTTAGTGTTTCATATTTATCCAGCGTGTGTGTGTGTGTGCGTGTATGTGTGCGTGTGTGTGTGCGCGTGGTTACGTGCGTGTGTATGTGTACGTTTTTGTTTGAGTGATGTGTGCGTGTGTGTTTATTATCTCGAGGAGCCATAAACAAGACTATACACCTTAATAATCATATGTCTTAAGCCAGTCAATTATCTTACTTTTAATTTGATTGTTACTAAAGTTTTTAGTCCGAAGCGTTGTATTTAGTTTATTTTACAATAAGTATGCCTGGTAACAAAACTGTCTCTTTGCAATAGAGCTGACTGTCCTAGGAATTCTATATTTGTCTATTTTTGTTCTTTCATTGTATTCACTTTGTACTGCTTTTTTGTTAAAAATTCTTGTGAAATCTCTTTATGCACTGGTAAACATACATTTTTCTGACACTTAATACCCTGGACTTGTCATATACTTATTAATATAATAGTTGTCGTTGTGTTCACAAATTGGCAATGTTTTTCCATTTGTATAATTTAGGTAGATTTGGATTCAGTTTATGAAAACGATAATTAAAGTCGTGCATATCTATCTTCTCAAACAAAAATAAAGAAAATACTAAATATTCTAATCCAATAAATAAATAAAATAGGCTGTTAAACACTGTAAAAACATGCTATAACGTACCTACGAACAAGTCGAAAAAGCCAATAAATATTATAATATATGATTTTCAGGCAGTCGCAGGGCCACTATCGTCTATTTTATGTGCTATTCTGCTACCGTCATATTTGGATAATGCAATATGTATTTTTTTTAATCTGGGGTTTTTGTCTGTGCTATGGCTCCACTGGACCAATGGGTCACATTCTCTGTTCCAGATATCCGCGCGAAAATGCTTCCATATCGCCACCGGCCGCGGCCACAAAACGCCGCCACCCGCATACTCCTTGTACTTATCATACATTTTATACGGATCGGCCGCACACGGTTGACGCCTGTGGCCGCCACACGCAACAAATCGCCGCTGTTCGCTTATGAAAAGTGCAATAAATATGCCGGTGGCGGCGCGGCGTTTTGTGGTTGTAGATGGTGGCCCGTGTACGACAACCCTTAGGTTACCTCATCTCTTCTTACGAGCAGCACTTACGTTCAAGTGTACTTGACGCTGCACGCTTGATCAAGTCGGTAGAATCGAAATTAAATGTTTGCTATGAGTAGACTTTTCATACACACCCATAGCCATACACCACCAAGTATACCGGACGCCGCTTCAAGCGCGCTGCAGACTTGGCGGTAAACTTGATGGTCTATGATGAGCATTACTTCGGTTAACACCGAAGTAAGAAGCGCTCTACAGTAGCAGTATTTCACGTCAAACGCACCCAGATCTAATCTTAATTACATTCACAAGAATAAAATGGTGTCAAGCGATAAAATAAAATAACAGATTACACAATATTATTATGAAACAGGTGTTTTGTTTATCAAATACCCCATGCTAGCACCTCATGTGGCTATTGCGTGTTAACTTTTTGTCAATTTTGATAAATTTCTCCTTTTCATTCTCCATAGAACATGTTGAGTTCTAAGTACTGTCAACATCACTACTATATAGCGTCAAATTGTATGAATCTAACTAGTAGGTGAAGGTGTAGGTGGTCTGTTTAGTTAAATCAGATTATATATAATAGACAAGTTTTGGAAGATTTAAAATCATATTCTGGCAACACTATCATTTGCTGTCAAGTGTATCTATTTACGTAGGTAATAGATGCAACATTTAGCAATGTTATTGAATAAATATACACCAGTACGCTGGCCAGCCTAATGACGTCATGATTTCGACGCCATATTGATAACACTACTACTACACCAGTGCAATATGGCGTCGAAATCATGACGCCATTACCGCTGTCCAGCGTACTGGTGAATATTTCGGAATACACCTATTGTTAACTGATAACTAAGTATAAAAATAAACATAGTATGGTATACTTTATTAGCATAATTATTGTTGAAAATTCATTTATCAATAATAAATTCTATAAATTCTACTAAAAATTCAGTTTAAGTTAAAACTACTTCCCGATTTTTTATAATAATTTTATAGTTAGTACCTATGACTACTGTAATTTTAATTACCTACCTAGTACTAATATATTTACTTACACTTAAATTAAAAATATGTTTATACAAATTTGGATTAATAGGTATTGGTATCCAGAATTACTTAGGTACCAGAATTTATCAATTTACAATTGTTTGTTTTTACTTTAATAATTAAAATCCTGTGAACTTGTAACAGTTCATGAGCCTTTGATTTTACTCAAAATACTAACATTTGGTTTTTATTCAACCTTAGTTGTTTTGTTTATAGTTCAAATGCAAAAAAATGTCTATAAGTAACCCTATTTTCGAAAAAAATATTTCATTTATTTATGTCCTCCCGTTAAACTTAAATTATAGGATATGCACATAATTTCACTATGAAAATTAATATCGCCGGTTTAAATTCTGCCATAAACTATAAATGTACCTACTTATATATTTAATCTTAAATATTCTACATTTACGCACGCAATCACAAAAGAACCAAACGAAAATTAACGCTAGCATTACAAATAATCGTTAATGAATGTTACCAAATTAGCAAGTAATGCGTTGTAAATTTATAATATCTAGGGGAACATCACCAAATAAAGTGATATTTAAACCACACATGATAACGTGTAAGGATAGTAGTTAGGTGCCTAGCACATTCGTTTTTTATGTTTGTTATTGATCATGAAACAATCATAACATTCAAAATGGCGTCCAACAAAGGATAAGTAGAACCTGTGCTCTACATGTTTTTAAAGCTTAACAACAATATAATGGACATTCAATAAATAATAATAACACTAACTAATTTTAAGTACCTACCTGTGGTATTTATTTTCTTTTTTGATCAAAAATAACCTCCAATATTAATCTAACTTGTTTACAAAATGGCGGAGGAAATCACATGACGTAGATAGTTCAAATATAAATCCAATGCAATCTACTTAGCAATATCACAATTACATACGTTAAACGGTACACATAAACTAAGATGTTGAACTAGATCGTTATGGATATAATATTTTTCAACAACACTTATAGAAAAACGGAAATTGTATCGCGTACATTAGTGACATGCTAGCAATCTACCACAGACTCACACTCACGTGACAACAAAAATGAAGCTGTCAACTTTATTGTTCTTTGACCACGTGCAACGTTCAGAAACCACGTTACACGAAAATATTTGTGATAGTCTATTGTTTTGTAATGAATCGTACTACTCCAAAAGACAAACAAAATAGACTTGGTACTTTAAATTAACTAAACATTATAACGGACTTTAATTAAAGGGGTAGGTACTATATTTTTTACCTTCTAATAACTCTGAGATTTGTGGACAGATTGTGATTATGATTTCTTTTTTTATAATAATTTAAGTGCTAATATAGTTTTACATTTGGGGGCGGTGTGCCATGCTTGTCAAATAGATCTAACTTGAATATCCTCTATTATGTATCATTTCTTAATTTTTTTGAGGTTTTGCTTTTATGGTCGGTGTTTATTTTTGGTAAAAATGTGCCTTTTTTACTATGCAGGAATAATGATACCTATTTTAGTGTGCGTTCTATTTCCATGCACCCACATGGTTCTTACATATAAATATGACATCACAAGCATAGATAAATGATTGGTCTCGCTTCGTGAAGCGAGACCAATCATTCATCTATGATCACAAGCACATCTACTAGTACTGTCAACCAGGGTCGTTAAGTCTAGATCTGTTACCTCGAAGAGGTGGCGTTAAACATTCATACAACATAGATTGTAGTAATCTTTACATAAACAAATGGGGTAGACATCTTGTAGACATACACATTCAGTTTTAAATGAATAATTCCTTAAAGATGTTCATTAGTGAATATTTTTGGATGAAATATAAAAAAATAATTAAACAAAACATTAGCCATAGTTATATTTATATTGCTTCATGTTGATTACATTCAGTTCAATATCCTAATATTAGCTCACAAATATTTCAAATTATATATAAAAAAGTACATAAAAGAATTTAATATTTGATAAAATTACAATAGAAAATTTAAATAATAATTTGAGATCATTTTACTATTATATTATCAGTAAAATTTGTCTTAAAATTTCTATGGCATGGCTAAAGTCAATAGCTTCCAATTGTAAACTTCATAAACTTGGAACTTGCCTTTCTTGTCTTCCCAACAAAGTAACTAAAAATGGCTATCTAGTTAATTTATATGCGGTAGAAGTAGGGTCGAGAACTGCATTAACTTCAATTTTGGAACGAGTTACTAAGGCTCATGCAGTGAAGGTAAGTGTTGATGCGCATCTCAACGGAGGCCTGTGCTAACAGGCAGCTCAAGAAGTGAATGTGAGCATTGATGCGCATCTCAAAGCGGGCCTCCTTGAACCTTCACCAAGTCGCAAGTCCCGGGAACTGCCCTGAGTTTTACTCTCTTCCACATGATGGACCGGCACCAACACTGTGAATCCATTGCTAAGAAGTTTCTCAGATTATAAAAATCATTTATTTATTTCATATAGCAGAGATATAAAAATTTACCAAGGTTAATACTCTCAATGGATGAGGTAGCTTTTATCTAACCCCTTCATTACACCTATTATAAAAATGGTGTATGTTTCAGTGTTCTGACACTAACTTCTGTAAAATAAATACCTAACAGGTAGTCCACTTAACTGAATTTTTGCCTGCTGAAATTGGACAAGAATGTACCATCTCATGGTCCCCATTTTTGTTATCCCCCGCACTCTTAGAGAAGACAAAAACTATAAGAGGTACATTCTTGTCCAAATTACATGTGCCCGCCCCCACGGTCACCGCTGTCGTCCCCCCCACACACTGTTGTCTCAGTTATACGGTTTACCAATAGTTAAATAACTATTTAGACGCTTTATAGGAAATTAAATGAAACATTCTTTGTAGGCACATAGTAGAAAGCAAACAATAAATAGCCTTAAAACATTACTAAAAATATTTTTATATGACATAATTTATAGGAAAATCTTGTCATAGAATGACTGCGAAGACAATGAGACAAGCCAAGCTAAACGCAAGGCAACTCATGTGAGTTGTTCAAACCCTGATTTTGTCACTGACCATTAAAATTAGGGTATTTCCTAAAATATTTAAATTCAAATTATCACCAATTTTTATAGAATTTATTGAGACATTGATGAGTGAGCTTTTTCAAGTATAATTTTAGATGTTTTTGAGATAATTTGTACCAAGACAAAATTGGGCAAAAATAAAACGCACACAAACAAGAAAATATATAAAACTTCTAACTTTTATCCCCTATCCCGAGGATACCATTATAATAAATATTGAAAAAATATATAAAATAATATTAATACCCTTTAAATACCACAAAAAAAACCTGTTTGAAACCTGAACCCAGTGGACTTTTCATAGTAAAATTTTCTTCACATTTAAACACCTAGCAGTTTAAATTACCTTATGCCCATGTAGGTAAATATAGCGAAATAGCCACATATTTTTACTAAGGTGTAGAGAGAGTTTGTGAAGGTAGTCCTTGTTAGGGTTAGGGCGTGTAGATCTTATAATCTAAAAAAGCACGATTATTAATCAGTGTTGCCAGACGGTCTCCGTGCCTTCCCCCTAGCGTCGCTCAGTTTCCCCCCAAAAATCCCCTGAATGCCCCCACTCGCCTGCTCGCCTACTTTCTGAAGCACGAAATTCAAATCACGAAAATATATAATTCTAAATCCCGAAACATACGCCTTGAAATAGAATTATACATAATAACGAGTAAAATAAAATGAATTAAAAATATATTTAACGGAGAATATTAGTTTTATTTTTTCAAAATAACATTTTTATAGAAATTATCACATATATTCGTATCATAAGTGGAAAAAAAATACATAGAGAAGAATATCAATTAGTCATGGATGCTCTCGACTTTTAATGACTGTTTGCGATGAAGATACTGATTCGTATCAAAATTCATCACTGGGGAAAACATTAAGGACTTCGAGGTCACTATCATTGATGTTGTTATAAACATTTTCAGAAGTGAAACGTTTGAGCATGAGAACCGTAGGCTTGAAATCGCGGCAATCGACTCCAAGCGTGAGTCGGACGTGCATTATTGCCTCTACCATTGCAATTGACATTCTGTTGCGCAGTTTGTCTTTAACAATATTTAATATTGAAAAAGCTCGTTCGACCGAAGCGTTCGAAAACGGTAAGCACAACAGAGCAAGTACGAGCTGCGCAATATTACCGAACCGTTTTTGTCCGCCAGCATTTTTAATGTCGAAAATCTCGGCCCAATAATCTTCGGTATTTTGGAGGTTCAAAACTTTGGCAGTGTGAAGAAGATTCCATTCCTTCACAGTACTGTCGATGTCAGTGCACACACTGGCTTTAAGCTTGGTTGCTATCTCAGTGATATCGACTTTAACTTGAGATGAAGCTACGTTCGGCGAAAAAGTCGACAGTTTTTCGAGAATTTTTATATTCTCGGGCAATCTTTTTTGCAATTGTTGGCACAATGTGATTAAAAAATTCCTGCATCTTTCTTTAATATTGACCAACGTTTCAGGCTTGATGCTCGAAGCAAGACTGTTGAAATCGTATCCGAAATTTACACATTGCAAGCTCATTAAGTGTTGAAGAAAATCAAAGGTCCCGAGTTCATAGCGCGATACTTTCTGAAGTTGAGATGGTACAACGATGGTTTGCAGGTGACTGAAGTTTGACGGGATCAACGTTCTGAGACTGAAACAACTTATTCAGTCCTACAACACCTTTCAGGCTATTGGCGAGAAATGTTAGAAATAGCTTGTTTTCGGGTGTGGCGTACATTGCGTGCAATTGAGACGCTATATAACAGCGCTCGTCGTTACTTTCAGTGATTTGGAAATGAAGTTTCAACGCATCCCATTGCTCCAATATTGTTTCAACAGCCTGAAGTCGAACTAACCAACGCGTATCGGACATTTTAACAATTTTTTTTGGCAATTTATCTGAAAGCGTTTGATAAATTTTTGCATATGCAATTTGTCTTTTGGTACTATGGGTGAACCAAAGGTGGGTTTCCCGTACCAAAAAATCCATATGCCTTGGCAACGTCTTGCAGGCTTGTTCCGCGGCGAGATGCAGTGAGTGACAAATGCATGTTATTATAATGAGGTCTGGGTTTACCTCGCGTAATAACGTTGACACCGAATGGTGTCTTCCGACATTTACGCTTGCACCGTCGACTCCAAGACCGATTAACTTTGTTGGCTGAAGGCCATCGATCTTTAATTGATTCAGCACTGCGTGTGAAATAGCATCCGATGTTCCGGCTTCCATCTCAATTAATCTATAAAACGTTGTTACGATTTTTTTTTCGTTTTGCTGAAATACCGGATCATAATACAGAGAACCTTTTTGGTATCCACTGTCGTCGATTCGTCAATAATAAGCGAAAAGTGACTGTCGCAAACGTCTTCGAGTAGCTCTTGCAAAATGCATGGCGACAGAATGTTTTTTACCAAAGCTGAGCACTTGGTGCGGTGAAGCTTAATGTCCTGCAAAACTGTCGAGTCTTCGTCGAGACCTTTAATCACCATCGACAGATGATCGACGCTTTTTATCGAACAATGCTCCGCCACGTACGTCGCGATTTTGAGCTCGGCAATTTTTCGTTTCTCTGTGAGAGTCACTTTTGCGAATCGATCAATTTTTGGTAAATTGACAATCTCACGTTCCTTGTTGGCAGACTGCAGGTGTTTCTTCGATGTGGCATGTTCCTGCAAACTCTTCTTGTGTGCGACTAAAGTGACCTTACAATGCGAGCAGAAAGCTTTTGTTTCGTCGCCAACAATTGGCTGCAGCCACCCTAGTTTCGAAAAAAAAAAATGATCGGGAAAAAATGTACCAATACATTCAAAAAATCGTTGGCATGATGTATTCGAGGCTCGTACTTCATCCTTGAACTCGAATTTTAGGATTTTAGATTTGACACATTCGTTTTCCTGAGGAATTTGTCAGATCGGTGTTATTTACTTACCAACGCAAGTTGGATCTTTTTCCCAACTCTTCACGTACTTTTGTACGTATTTGTTTGTTTTTTTCTCTTTCGGCATTGTTTTATCGCCAATTCTCTCAAGATAAGAAAAGTTTCGCGGATATCGTGTATAAAAAACTAATAACTGATTAGTGTGTTAAAAACTGTACAAAAGAATGAGGTTTTGAGGTTATTGCGGTTAGAAAAGGTTACTCGTAATATAGGTTAGGGTTTGTGGATAAAACGCGTGGACAAAAACAGTTTCAATATTGACAGGGGGTTCCCTCTGCCAATATTTGTTCATCATATCTCCGTGGCGCAGCAGTCAAGTGATTCAATCAAGTTTAACCCGCGACCGCGACCACCCGACTTCTTAATATCTGACGATTCGTTCGGTTCGTTATGCAAATGACTTTATTCTTTCAAATTATCGAAAAGAATAACTTTCTCAAAAATAATTCGCGTTTTTTTGAAAAACCCCTAAAAAATCCCCTAAGAAATTTTTCCCCCTGTTTCTCCCCTGAGCCCGACGAAATACCCCTAAATCTAGGGGGAAATCCCCTGATCTGGCAACACTGTTATTAATTCCAGTCATTAAAATGACATTTCCAATTTTCCAATGTTGCAGGTTTTTTGTCCCACATAAATAGTGATGGGTAGAATCGAGTTTTTACAATTAAAAGTTAGTCGAGATTACATTTTTTTTATTCAATATCAAATTACATTTATAAAATATATAAATAAAAATATGATATTTAATTTAATATAATGATTTTAATATAATATTTACGGTAATTAAACAGAACACATACACAATAAGTAATTTATTTAATATTACATAAAACACTGTTGTATTAAGTTAAATATATCATTGTGTTGACTCGGTGAATTTTTGGTTATTGGAAGCACTATGGTCATCACTTGTCACGCTATGGACGCCATTTTGTTTTTCATTCTGCTCCCGAATTCCAATGGTGTCCGAAGTGTTTAGTGTCCTCTGCAATTTCTTGTTTATTTCTTACTTGTTAACTTGTTATTTTTTTGTTGAGTTTTGTTACGTTTGTTTTTGACGTGACAACGTCTTAAATTAGGTTGCGGCTGGGAGTCACTTATGAAAAAGTGTAACGCTCGGTAACGTTACGATGAGTTTAAGTTTACATGTACAATGTTTTAGTAAACAAAATATATTTCTATAGTTAAAATTTGTGCAATTCTTATTTTCATTCAATTCCTTGTTCCTATTGTGCAATTTAATTATATTCATATCAATAAATATTCTACCGAGAAAAAGACGTTGTCACGTAAAATCTTCGCCCGTAAAACCGACTTTACAGGCAACCATTTTTTTTTTGTTAATGTTAAGTTTTTGTTTTGTTACGTTGGTGTTTGAGATGGATCCCCAACCGTCCACCTGTAAAGAGGGATGTCTCCCTAAAAAAGAAAGTGTCTATCATTTGTTGTGAGTGAGAAACAAATGGTTCTTAATGCATATAATTATGTATGGAATCAAAATGCAGCAAAACCTTTTGATGTTCCAAAGAAAGATGAGTGTGTGAAGACGGTATCTCAAATTTTGGGAATTTCGACTAGATCTGTATATCGGATACTGAAAGAACAAAAGGAGAACGTTCAGTTATCAAATCGGAAAAAATCTGGACCCAAACTGACATTCAAAGATAAAATTGATGATTTTGACTTTTCGGCGATACGTCGTGAAGTTCACCAATAGGCTAGTCGACCCTTTTTGGAAAAAGGTTTTAAATGGTTAATAAATGTTCTATTAGACCGAAAAAAAATGTACTGTATTTTTTTTAAACCTGGAAAGCTACAAATCTTTAATTTTAAAATAGACTTTTCATGGACATACAAAAAGGCTGTCGGCCATTTTAGTCTATAGATTATCTATGCTATGACGTGAACTGTGGTAAACAAAAACTCGTAAACACGTAGAAAGTTACTTAAAACTGAGTTTATAATAAAAAAAAACATGATTTCTAATAAATACCACGAAAAATAAAGTAATTATCATTACTGTATTGTACGAGAATATAAAAACACATCCTTGAAGACTCCAGGAAAGTTGTGGATTAAAATGCCGAAAGAAATTAACCTACGCAACTTTATTACACTTATTCATATGTTGTATGAGTTTTATGTTTATTACTACATTGATGTCGATTCTGGCGATTCTCTAAAGCTAAACTTAAATTTGACAACAGTGCATCCTTGTCATTCTCTATACATAATGAAAAGAAGAGACTGATGTTAAATTTAGTTTTAAGTTTGGAGAATCACGCTAGAATCGACACCATTGTAATACTAAATGCACTGTACTTACATAGATGCCTTGTCGTTTCTCTGCTCCGCAGAGCAGAAATCGGGGTTAAGTGCAACAAATTCACCAACCATCAATGCATCAATTCTTGGCAGATTTGTGCTTTCCGCTTTCACAAAGCCGGCAACCACAATTAGTTTTGTCAAAAAAAACTAAGTTTACTGTTTATTTCTTTCCTAAAGTTAAATGTGTTTTAAGATAAATTTAGTCAGACGAAAGAATCCACCTACAA